AAAATATAATCTTTTATTGATTTTTGTTATATTAAAATTATATAGTAATTTCTATGTACATTTTTAAATTTTAAAATGTTTATATTATATTATATAACATTATATTTTGTATAATATAATATATATAATGCAGAATATACATCTCTACTTGTAATATACTAAGAAAGTTATATTTTTTTTTAATCTTTTAGCAGGTTATACCAACACTTTATTTGTATAATGTTTTTAAAAAAGACTAATTAAAATATATAGTTATGAAGTAATCTGTACTCTATATATCTAATCTACAATTTTTTAAGTATTGACTCACTCAATTACCCTATAGGTACCTATGTGCAATCTGCTATAGTAATCTTTTCTTTCCTCATTAATATTTAATCTTTTAAAAAAATAATAATAATTTGAGCAAACATAATAGCTTATCATGACTCTTGTTTATATAATAGACTACTACCAAACTGATAATAGTTTCTTGTATAGTAAAAAGGTATAAAAAAAATAAAAATTTTATATAATGATAGATACTAAGGCTATGAATTATATAATAAAACTACAAAGAGAAAATATGCAATATATAAAAAACACTTTGTAGTATAGTAAAAAAAAAAAAAAAGAAAACAAAGAGATAGTATTTTGCTCTCAGAATTCTGTATAAAAATTGTATATCTATAACTAGAGGTTGCATAGAAATAGCTACTAAAATATATCTCTAATAAAAACAATTTCTAGTTAAATCCAATTTGTTGTAATCAAACATATACTCTAGCTTTATATCTTCAACCTAAACACTGTTTAAGTATGACATATCATTTACTAAGATATATATATTATTGTTGTTTAGTAGGTCAATGTAATTATTTCTAAAATAGAAGTAGTATAAATATTAATCTTTTGAATAGGGTAAGCCAAATTTTTACTTTTTGTGTAATAAAAAAGTATCAAGTAAAGTTGAATTTAAAAGAGGGTTAGGAGTTAGTTCTTTATAATTTAGAGAGTATGTTGCAAATTTTATATTCCAAATTTTTATAATAAGTCTTTCTTGTCAAAGTATTACATTACTAGAAACACCTTTCCTTCTAGCTTAGATACCAAATAGCATAGAGAAGTCTACCAGAAAAAAAGTTTGACCTCTACTAAAACTGTAAAAGACTAAAGTTCTTATTCATGCTATTATTTTAGCTAAACTTCTCACTTCTTTGATGATATAGTTTGTAACAAATATTACTTAAAATAAAAAATTTTTATATAAAATATTGCATTTATTTTTTATGAAATTTTTGGTAAAAGTGATTGACAGAAGGAGTTTAATTAAATTAGTGACTAAGAAGGCTATATTACTTGTAATATTTTAGTACTTTTTAACAAAAATATTAAAGGCATTTTTAAAATAAAAATAATTATCTAATTTTAAACTTTTAATATTATTATATTTATATTAACTTTATCTAAATATATTTATATATAATTATTACTACTTTTATAATAATTAAAAAAAATCTTCAATATTAGCTTTTTTGTTTTAATAACTATTTTGTATATATTTTAATATTTCAAATACATTTAAAATTTCTTTATATTTATATTACTTAATCTATCTACTCAAATAACTCAAGAATTATATAATTAACTAATATTTATTTATTTTTATAATACTAATAACTTTTTCAAAACTACTCAATAATCAAAACTATTCTTTAAAGATTTATGCTTTTTTTATTTATTAAATTATTTACTATATATATAGATATTTACAAAATAGCTACTAAACTCACTATTCAATTCTTTTTTAAACTTTCTAACAAAATTTATAAACAAATTTGAAAGCTTTATAGCATTAAATTTTCTAACTAAAAAACTTAAAACAAAATACCTAATTATCTTTAACAATTATCTTATTTATAATACTCTTCTTATAAAACTCATTTTAAAATAGACTATATATATATATTTGCTTATATAGCTAATTTGATAAATTATATAATAATAACAATTCATATTCTTTACTAAGACTAGTATAATATAAAATTAATATATAGTTTACCTTGTAAGCTAAATATAGTTATTTATCTAATACTATTATAAATATTTAAAGCTAGATAAATTTTTAATAACTCTAGTAGATTTAAATTATAAATAAATTAGATAGTATACTATTTTTAGTCTAAGTTTTATCTTAACAAACAAATTTATAAATTTTGAAAAACCTTCTATAGAATTCTATACAAATTTTAATAAAGATAAAAACAAAACTTATCTTAATATTAAAAATAATAATAATAATTAAAAATAGCTAATATAATTTAAAAAGAATTATAACTCAATTATTTAACTATTCAAAAACTTATATAACCAAAAATATACAACTTTTTAAAAGAGGTTTGTTAGATTTAGTTAGTAGAGATTAAGACTTTAGTTACTTGAATTAGTAAAGTTAGTTATATAATTAAGAAGTTAAATAAATAATAAATTATAACTTAAAATTTAATGAGTAAATTAGTAAAGCAGTATTAATATATAATAATATTATAGATAATTTATTTAATAAAATTAAAACTTTATTATTCATTCAACATGAAACATAGTTTTCACAAAATAATTATGCTCTTTATTTATAATAAATTTCAATTATAACTTGTTTTAATAAAGAAAACTTATTTTTATATTTTCTTTATTTGATCCAACTTTTTTAATTTATTTATTTAAACTATTATAATTATTAAATCTTTTTTTACTATTAAATTCTCTTTCTCTAATATATTTAAAAAATCAATTTAGTAGATTTAGTAAATTTAATTTAATTAATTGAATTAATTGCCAAAATACCTATATCAAGTAATTGATCTTTATACTTATGTTAAACATAATAAGTTGCAGCTTATTTGAATCATGTTGAACCTTACACTAATAGATCAATAGTTACATTATATTTGATCTTGATTAACTAGTAAAAATTTGACTTAGGTAACCAAATATTTTGATTATAATAAACATTTGAAGAGAAAAATGTAAAGACAAATTTTAGAAAAGTTCCAAAAGATTCTATAATAATTTTTTGATTAAAAGTTTTGCGGAATATGAAACGCAGTAAAAATGATCGAAATTATCAATCAATTTTGTAAAAAAGCATTGTTATTACAGTAATAATTTAATCTTTAATATAACCAATCAGAATTATTAAGATTAATAGTGAATAAAACATGCTAAAGTAGCATAGAAAAAAGATAGAATAGTGATTTCAAACCAAAATATGATCACATGCATAAATTTTTTAAAAAATCAGAGATAGCGAAGCTAGCACGTTTGTGCTATTATATTACAATTTAAAGGCCGGCCTATTCTGAGACTAGTGATGTGCCATTTATATGATACTCGAATTTTTTTCGCGTACAGTAGTACAGTACGTATAGTGCGTATAGTTGTTTCTAGCGATTTGATTGGTTGGGAGAAGTACCCGAAGTGATCGGCAAGAATTTTCGCGTACAGTAGTACAGTAGGGTGCGTACTGTACGTATAGTATTATACGCGGCACATCACTAGCTGAGACTTATAAATAGATGTGTTATGGGTTGCTTCTGTGATAAATTGAGTGAGGTATGCGCTTTTGTAAAGTGCAGCATGAAGAAAGATATTCTAGAAATACTACAAATTTTTGAAAATGTTTTGTATAACGTATAATGATAAGACTCTCGTGTAAAAAGATTTTAAATAATTTTAACTTGGATCTGTTTTTTTATCGAGTTTCACTCTCATACTTCTGAAATCAAATATACTTTGTTATATTAAAAAATACCGAATAACTAATTAAAAGCATGCTTAATTGTCTCAATACTGATAATTTAGAATCTTGACATGTTATCCTAATCACTGGACACGAGCAAATCAACGATTTAATCACTGAAACAAGTAAATCAGTGTAGAGAATATATTTACTGAGCAGCCTGGCTATCTTCAAATCAAGTAAATCCTTTCTTAGAATTGTTGTAACAATGAACATTACCTTCTTGTCTTTTATTCTTTTCATAACTTTGAATTTAGTTGGTCCATCTCTTGTCACCGTTGATCAGTCCGCACCAAAAATCAACGTTACCGTTTCTGTCACACCAAAACGTTGCAGTCCAATAAATTACTTGACTATTAAATGGAAGACTTACGGTGTTCCTGAAAATGGTGATGAATATATATATTATAAATTTTGTGCAGGTTTCAGTAAATAAATATTTCATGTAATTGCAACGTCTTATAACTTTTTATCATTTAACTGTCATATTGATGAGTTACAATACGAATTATGTATTCAATACGATGATACTGTCCAAACTTCTGTAACGCTGGTACTTCATTTATTACATGATAAAATCACATGAATCTAATTTACTGAAACTTACGTTAAATAACATGAAAGGCAAAAATGCAATTTTTCGTAATATAGTCCTAGACAGTGTTGTACGTGGACAGCCTTTGGACAAGATTTGGACATTTTGGACAAAAAAATAAAATAAATTTACTCAAAATTTTATTAAGATACCCTTTTAAGCAAAAATGGTTAGAATTAAACAAAGAGTATAATCATATAATTTTTATTTGTATTACTAAATATTTAAGGCTATAGACAGCTTAGACACTTTGGACACTTGGACGTTTGGACGTTGGACATGTCCAAAAAAGCTTTGGACATGCCAAAATGTACATCACTGGTCCTAGGTGTGGGGTCTTGTAATATTTAGTAATGCTAAAAATTCTGCATATCATATTGTAAAATTGAATTTGGTAATGCAGAATGTTTAAATTTGCTTTTATCTTAATCAATTTTGAATTCATTTAAAAATGTTTGATATGACTAGACTATTCGTACATATATTCTAAAATAAGATTATTTAAGACTAAATATTTGATTCAATGAATTATTAGAAAAATTGAATATTCGATTGCTTTGGTTTTCCAGTAGTAGAGCTCACGCAGGACCAGCATTATGGCCCAAATTTCCAAAAGTAATATTAATTTTAATAATTTCAAAATTTTTTTTTCAATCTACACAAGTCAAATAATTTACTCTGATTTTATTAATATAAAAAAAGATTGTTCCTAACAGCAAAAAATCAATAACCGTAAAAATTTTTATGGGAGGAAATCAATCATTACCTTTCTATGTAACCATTGCGTCAATTCGTCCAATTGGAAAACAGATAGCATTTGGTTATGTTCCAATTTTTTCTATGAAAAATCCACTTTTCAAATGTAGATGGAAGTTTTAGAAACTATAGCTGCCTCACTATTATAATATTATAGTATAGTACACATATT